AGAGCCTCGAAGTGGAATAAATTAATATACAGACCTCAATACTGATAATGAGGTGTAATTAGATTTCATTTAATAAGGATCGGCTGCATCATAGCTTGTTAACAAATTGTCTGAACCTGAAATAACTTCTATCACTGACAGAACATAATGAAGCAGAAACTATCCAAAATTGACCCGATGACAGTTTAAATTCCCTCATGTTAGATATTAGGTTTTAAACAATAAACACTGAGCTCAGATAAATTAGGAAAGAGATACCGTCTGTGGTGTGTGACCCAGAGTTTTGATGCTGCACTTGGATGTGTTTTAACCATCTGTGAAACTGTACTCGAAGGATGGAGTGGCTTTAATGCTCATAGGCATTACATTTAAAGAGATGCTCAAAAAAACCTTTCCATTCAAAAAGTTTAAATTCCCTTTGTACTTACCTTTTTTATTGTTGTCTCTTTGAGCTATAATTATATTCATGAAAACAGTTTACACATTCACAAAAAGCATTTTTAACTCGAAGGTTGTTTGTAAAGGTCTTGAAAAATTATTTCATATTAATCAGTTTTTCAACTAGATTAATGAACAAAGGTCAAATAAACTGCAAAAACAATCGGTCAAAGGCATAATAGTGGAGAGAAATAAAAGAAAATTACAGTGACTTGAATTTAAAAAAGTAAAGATCTTACATATTTAAATTTAAATAAAAGGCAGACAGAAGTCAAGCAATCCCTTTTTTTAAATATAGAAAAATCAGTTTCAAAGTTTTTCATTGATTAACAACTTAAAGAAACTTTTGATTTGGGAATTGATGAAATTAGGCTATAATTGAATGCCAATAGATAATAGCATTTACCAGTTATATATATGATTTATTTTGCTGATAAATAAATTACGTATAAATGATATAAGCCTTAAGGTCTTCTTGAAGGGAAGAAGTCTTTAATTAAGACAGCAAAGAATGGTAGGATCATTCTATGCTGAAACTATACTTCTAAACTTGATGAAGTAACTGAAAGACGGGTAAAACATTGAGCTGCAAAAGACTAAAAAGACGTCACTACATATAATTTAAGTTCAACCATGAACAAGTGCAAATGAATGATTGATGTGAAATTAGGAGGAAAGACGAAGGCAACCGAGGCACGGATAGTTTGATATTTACAAACAAGCAAAAGAGCGTGGTCACTCAATGCTTGACGCAGACCTTGTTTGAAAGGGCGACGTCTGTATATAGAAAGACAGACAGACAGACAGACGCCTGCAGGACATTTTGGAGGCAGGCAAAATTGGAGACACAGATGGGAAGGTGAAGAACTGAAGCTAGATTGCATCAAGATATCTCCAAGACATTTAACTTGGCTTTTATTTACTTTAATCCTAGATCAACTTTATCTGCTCATAACCTACAGAGTAATAATTGGTATAACTAACTGTAACTATATTTAAGGGCTTTTCTTATAAATTGCAAAAATCACAAGGGTCTAACATTCTAAATCAAAGTCCGCCCAATGTGTATATATATATATATATATATACACACATTTTTGTACAATAATATATATATATATATATATATATATATATATATATATATATATATATATATATATATATATATATATATATATATATATATATATATATATTTATTATTATTTTTTTTTTTTCATCAATGTAGTCCTCCCTCTGATGACCAAAAGGGTGAGTCATACCGCAAATAAACACACGAAAGTGACAAGGTTGGGGGTATTCACACTGATTGTGTAAACATTTAAATACTGTTGTGACACCCGTGCATAATGGTGCTCAATAGATGCATAAGAAGACATGGGAGAAAGTGAGGGATCATGTCTTCAGAGATCACCAACATTCCTTGGCCCTTGTTGATGACTGACTTAGAGGCCCGAATGGACTCCCTGGGGCATTGCTTTGGATCTATGCACTCATTCCATACATTTGGGCTTTGAAAGTGTTTCCATTCATACTTCCTATTATTTTTCCCAGCATTATGTGGCAACTGAACACATTTATCCTACTTTATACCTACCTCCCTAACTCATTTATTTCTGTCTTAGTTAAACTGTGTACTTTTTCTCTCTCTATGCTGTTGTTACAACCGGTAACCGTTAAATAGAATTTATTAGCTGTGTCATTAAGATACACAGGGAAATTCATGCAGCGCTTTCTATGGACCGCTTTTGGTTAAATGTCGACAGAAGAGGGCCTTAGAGGTGTGGATTATAAAGTAAAATTTCTTGGTTTTGATCATGGTTTTATAAATTTGAATATTTCTTTGGTGAATACCGTTTTGGATGCTTTGTTTACTTAGTGTTTTGGTATCAGTACACATTTTTTTTTATGAATGAAAGATTCCCCTAGATTCTAATTTATAGAAACAATATTGGAAAGATGACAGACCAATCTTCCTGCTTAGTGACACTAGGAAATAATAGCCAGATAGAAAGAAACTGCTGTTAGTTATTTCTGCCGAAGGGTGGGATCAAAGGATGGACTCAGCTCTTCAATTTATCCATTATAGACTTTATTTTATTATTTTTATTGATACATTTACATTTTTTACTCTTTGAATCAAAATCAAGAACTAAAAGAAGGTGTTTACTTAATACCATAATTTAGGTCCGGTAGTTTTCACTTGACGTCATCAAATGCTAAACCTTAAAGTTTCAGTTTAGTCCCATTGTATAGAGAATAACTCCAAAGAACAGCTACCAGTCTTGAAATCTGCCACATTTGGTTCCTGCTGTTACCATCACTACCAATTACAGGACAGAAGGTCGGCTCCACTGTGCCATTGAGAACACATGGTTAATATGAGCCCAGGGCCTGAAAACATATGAATCCATGTATGAAAGAAGGAGTAACTAGTCAATCATTTATTAAAACATAGATCTTAAAGTGTAGGCAAACCAAATAAGCAAAGTAGTACTGCAAACTACAACTTGGATTTCTAACAATTCATTTGCATCAAACCAAAAAATAATTTAATCTAGAGTACATATTTTAAATTAACAAACAGTCTAATATTTACCGGATTTTTTTTACCATAGTTTGTATAGAAGCTCACTGATTCAGGCGTGCTTGGATTGGATGTACTTTATTGTTCCCAAGTTGGGAAATTAACAGTGCAGCAGCAAAAAAATTAACAAAATCAAGTTTAAGATTTTAAGTTTTGTCTCTTCTCTTTCTTTTTGATGACATTTTACACTTTGCCTCAACAAATTAAAGAATAAAAACGAATCAAAAGAGCAGATTTCTGAAGATGTGACTGGACCTCTCACTATTGATGGAAACTAACATTATACTTTCAGGATTTTTTTATAGGGGTATATAAAACTGTGTAGAAGCTCAAGCAGAAACGAAAGTATTAAAGACTAGCATCACTTTGTGGCCAATGCAGCTGCTGGTTACAGTGGAGACACCATCCAAAGCAAAGAAGTGACATTAATGTCGATAAAAAGCGGATGTTTCTGTTGTATTCCTATCTTCCAACCACTTAACTGCTGGTGAGAAAATGTTTATAAAATCTTTTTAAAATCCAATTGACTGCTGGTGTTGCATATGTATGAACGAGTGTTGCAGAACTCAAAGAGAGAGTGTAGACTGTTAAAAATCAGAGCAAGAATATTTCTTGTGACAAGTGCTGCTCCCCGTCCTGAAGAATTTTTTCCCCCAAGTCTTCCCTCCTGTAGATTTAAGATGTTTCTCTGTTGCAGCCAACCTGGATCAAATGTTTGCATCACCTCCCCGGCAGCAATCAGGTGCTGCACAAGTCTGTTAATGAATGACATCTACAGCTCAGATGTGTGGCAGCATGAGAAACCTAAAATAGTCCTTAATTTACAAACTAAATAATCTTCATAAATTTCACCATATGATGTTGAGGAATTACAGCATATTTCTTGTTATCTGTTAAACTGGTGGTTGTACAAGGAGATATTTTATCTTTTGTTTACTATTTAGTCTTTGGAAATCTGGATTTCTTTCCACAGCTCTGTGCGATACCAGCTGCAAAAACTTAGGTTGTTGAATTTTCATTGTCTGCTGTGAAACATTATTATTTTACAACCTTGTTTCACAGCTTGGCTTGTATTTCCCTTTAAATTAAGGTCACCTTCATGAGGGGATGACTGACAAGTAAGGTTCCTTTTTGAAACCAATATACTGTATGTTGTTCATCATTTTTATTATGAAATTTAAGAAAGAAAAAAAAAAGTCGATTAATCGGATTTAATAAAAAAATAAATCAGAGATTATTTTTGCCATATTGTCCAGCCCCAGTAGACCATAGAGCTTCCTAAAGCATAATCACATTGTTTCTGGTTTATAATTAGCTCTTAAATAAAACAGCAAAATTCTTACCTCTATGCGCACATACAGTATCTATCATACCAAACATACCTGTAACCTTCTGTAAATCCTGGACTTGGATCTAATGATTAAAACTGAAATTCATAAAGCACATCTGTAGAAAAATGTAATACCCCCCCCCCCCCCCCCCCCCCCCCCAGGTTCTAATCATAAATAGTGACTTTCACTTTATAATAACCATATGCATGTTTTATTCCAAAGCATTTCTGAAAACTATCACCACTGACAGAAAAATATTTTTTCCCCTAATATTCTAGACAGAAATGTAGCATCAGAACCTTATCAATTGATCAGCGTGCTGCTTTATCACGTACACCGCCCGATTTAGTAACCCTGCTGTACTGTTTTACAACTTCCCGTAACCCAGTGAAAACATTTCAGTTGTATGTGGAAGGTGGGATGGACTTTTTCCTGAAACAAAGTAGGATATGGAAGCAGCTATGTCATCCGAGCGCTCCATATCTCAGATATGCTACTTAATAAGGAGCAGTTTCCGACAGCTTCCGTTATCAGAATTAGGTGTTGAGAATGCATAATGCCTGAGTTCAAATTCCTGACATACCTCAGTGTGTCAGGCTGGTGTATAAAAGAACAGATGGTTCCACTGAGGTCCCAAGCATTCAAACCACAGCAGAGTCAAAGGCCAACAAGCATCAGCCCATCCAGACACAGATATGAAGAGCAACAAGATTCAGAGAAACCTGTTTTTGTCCTCCATTCCTCTTTGTGGTCTTCTCCTCATCTTAAACCTGGAGCCATCCAGCACTTATCCCATCAACACGGGCTTGACAGACACCGATATGGACATCCTAAAAGTGAGTCTCTTAGAAACACTGCATCTATTTTCAAAATCCTCATATTTAAAAAAAATAATAACTACAGATTGATCAATTGTATAATATTACATTTTTTAATGTGATATTTATTGGATGTTTCAGGTTCTGCTGCAGAAACTTGAAGAGTCCGTTTCAGAGCAGACTGCAATGGATCAAGGAACCCCTGAGGAGAATGCAGGTGTTAACAGACTGAACATGGAGGAAACATCTAGCGAGCAGCAGCCTCAGATGGGCTTGGATGAGGCTGAAATCAGAGAACTTCTTTCGGCGAAGAACCTGAAGAACGTCCGGAATGACTCCTCCAAGAAAACTTCTGGCTGCTTTGGGCGACGGATGGACAGAATAGGCTCAATGAGCACCCTGGGCTGCAACACGATTGGCAGATATAGTAAGTTTCACAGCAGTAAACCTCAGGGTCATGGTGGTTTTAAAACGGCTGATGACATCTTTTGTGTCTACATTCTCATTGCTATGTTTCTGAAATCTCTACTTCTGTTTTCCTTTGCAGATCCAAAGTAAAGATGAAGTCTTACCGTCTAACTGATGCTACTCCAAAGTCTGTACCAAAGTCTGTGTTCAATTAAATGCTATTTATTAACTAATATTTACTGTTTATTGTTGTCGCCTGTTGACAATATATAAGGAATATTTATTAAAATAGATTTATTGTTCTTTATGTACTGTTGACTGTTTAATAAATGTTTACATCAGCATTTTACAGAATGATGTTCTTTTTGACAAACAGACCAACACAAAGACGTTACCTATAAATCCCTCTCATGCTATCTCTTATAGTAGAAGCAAGGATTGATTTGTAAAGAGCACATCTAATGAACCTGCCCCATTTTAGTGGGAAAAAAGTATTCAACTATTAGTTAAATAAACAGAGATCGATGGATTTCACTCAGTCGGCACTTTATTTTCATATCTTCGCAAAGGGAGAACAGTTGATCATACAGCTCTTTTGGCACAGTATTAAGCCCCGTTCTGCCTGGGCAGTGTGTGTTCCCCCTTACTTACAACAATGGTAAGCAGTGAGAGTCAAAACAAATTACTGACACTTTGGTTAAACAGTAATATGTTATGAAAAATCCTTGAGAAAGATGGCTTGTTTTGGGAAGAAGCTTTGTCTGGTCTACAAACACCCTCATGCAGGGGAATTGTGTGACCTTGCAGGTGAAACAGACTGAGGGAAATCTTTTATAATGAGTAAATAGCATAAATTATTACATATAAAATAAGAGAAATAAAAATTTTCCCACCACTCTTATTTAGCCTGGATGAGGCTTTTTTATTCCAACCATTTTCAGGACCATGGACAGCATGCAAAACTCACACGTCTGCATCTATTTGTCTGTTTGTCATGGTTTATAATTGCTTCATCACGCTTTGGAAAGTAGTCTTTCCCTTGTTGAAATAACCTTCAGTTAAACAAAAATGTTGAAGGTTAAGTAAAGAGTTTCATCTCTTGGAGACAGCAAGACTTCATGACACCCTCTGAATGCTTTGATCACATCTAACAGCTGTTTGGGAGCTACCTTCACAAATGGTGACATTCGAAGTGTGTTGAACTCTGCCCAGAGTTTAGCTAAAACTGTGGTCCTCGGTCAGATTTGATGCAAATTAAGCTTTTCTGCAAAACTCCAGGTGTGACTTGCGAAAAAATGGTTGAACGCAGCCATGCTCATTAAAGTAGCATACTCGTTCAGATTAAAGAGGTTAGTCTGATTGACAATATCTTTTTTTTTTTAAACATCTTTATAGGAGATATTAAGCTTACTTTTCTGTAAACCCTTATGTTATACAAATATTACAAATATCCTCATTTTAAATGTGACAATCAGAAAATAATCAGACTACAGAAATAAAGGTTTGAAAACATCAGCCTGTATGTAATTAATATATATTTATATATATTTTTTTTTTATTGGTGAAATAAGTGGGTAAAATAAATTAAGTTTTCAACAATATGTATATCTATCTGGTGGTAGAAGATATGAGTGGCTGTGGGCTTAGTTTAATGAAACTATGCATTGGCATAGGTTCATATTCAGATCCAACTTATTAATGTTCAAGTTAATTTTCCAAATGTCCAAATTATACTAAAAAACAATCAGTTACAGTTGATTATTTCCATGGTTGTGGTAAAAAGGAACAACTTATATTTACCTAAAGGAAGACTTCAGTGTAACAGAACCACTATTGGTGTGAGATACTGTACGCTACAACCAGCTACAGTTTAAAAGGACAAGGAGAATAGCAGGAAAGAAGCAAGTATTGCTTTTAAAGTACTGCAATCTATAGTTTGTAAAAGACAAAATAGATAGATAAATAAATAAATAAATAAATAAAAACAAAACAGAGAGACCAAAGGCAGCAATGGCAGCAATAAATCTGTCCGTGATTGCGTCCAAAAATGACCCAATTAAACCCAGAAGAACTAAAACAGAACAATTTTCTATGGGAGTAAAAAAAGAGCAGAATCTACTGAGTTAATGGAAGCAATAGCTCAGCTGGAAGATGAAAAAAACGTGTGAACTCTGAAATGAGAGAAAAGGCAAGGATGTAAATATGCTGAGTTCATTGTTAATTATACATAGTCATGCTATTAATACACTTTTTACTATCATCCAACAAGGTGTGTCAGAGCAACTCATCAAGCAGAACCATCAAGAGAAAGGTTTAATTATGGATTTTTTTAATTGATACAGTAAATGCATGCTATGCATCCCAGAGACAGCCAGTTTAACCTAATAAGGTGTTTAGATGCTCAGAAAAGTGTTAGATATTTTCACTCTGAGTGCTGCATTTAAAATAAGCCTCAGCCTCAGCTCAGGATACCAAACTTGACTCCTGAAGTCATCCTAGTGCCGTTTGGTAATCATTGAGATACGCAGACACACACACACACACATGCTGTATACAAACACACAAACACCTCTCAACACGCAGACACCACTGAAGTAGACATCTGACTTGCTACTTTATCATGCAGAGGTGCCAGAATGCTCTTGACTTGATCCATGAAATGATGAGCCAATGTTAACTGTCTGCTGTCCCTGGATGTGTGTGTGTGTGTGTGTGTGTGTTAGTATGTGTGTTGCCATGTATATAACATGGCACAGTGTGGGCTACAAGATCAGTATCTGCATCGGGAAAGAATGAAGACCGTGGTGTTTTTTACCGTGTTGGCCTTGTTCTGGCAGCAGTGTCCAGTCAGCAGCCATGTACTGGGAAGGTCCTCTTTGACCAGTAATTTAGACCAGATTAAGGTAAGAAGACCATTTCAGAACTTCGTTGGAAAAGTTCACTGTTTGATGCGTTAAAACTTTGATATTGGGAGTTTGGATTCTTAAATGTTTCCTCAGAGGGGTTTTGTAGGAAAATGATATATTTGCTATCAAATGTCTTGTTTTCCTTTAGGTCCTCCTTTTGGTTCATATATCAAAGGGATTTTCAGGTGGCTCTGCGTTTAAAAGGTTAAAATATTCTCATAATAGTTTTTGAAATGTTTTAACAACAGGACCTTTGGTAGTGCAGATATTCAGAGTGAAACAAATTGTAGAATTCAGGCTTCTTACTGTTGGTTTACAGGCGGATCCAGGGGTAATACATGTTTCATACGAAATAAAAAAAAGTTATTGTGCAAATTTGACAACGGGGAATTCATTCTGAAAGCATGTTGGTCAAAAACAGAGTAAATAAATGGGTAGCAGATGAACGTAAAACAATAACAGCAGTCAAAGCAAAAAAGAAAATCAGTTATTGAAAATACGGAACTCAGGTGGCAAGAAATGAGAAACTTAGTAACAACCTCTACTCAGTATTAGTCTAAAAAGATTTCAATAAATAGGTGGGTTGGAAACAGAGTGACTTAGGTTTATGATCGTACACTGTGATAGCATGGGATAAGTAGAAATAATATGACAGAAAAATAATACATATTTTGTAAACAAGCCAATAAAACAAAAAAAGATAAAAATAATAGTGATTAATGAGTTTCTATTCTATTTTTAGTCTATTCCTGATGCTTTAATTCTTACTGAATGTCTTCTGTCCATAGTGTGCAAATCCATTCAAACTTGTCAATCCTTAAGCTCCTACTGTAAAGCTGCGGGTCTGATTTATCCTTTAAAACATATATAAACAATCCTGAATAGCCTCTAAGTCAGAAATTAAGCCGCAAGTTTGGAAAACAAATCATTTAGGTTACAGCAGAACATGTTGTTCATGAATACATTGACATTGGACTTTACTTAGTGTTTCGATGGCACACAGGTGCAAAGAAAAAAAAATATATATATATATATGTTGATATGGTGACTTTGATGCAGCCTCATAATACTTTAAAAAGTTTTCTGTTCATTGAACCTTTATCTTACCTCTGCAGTCTCTGCTGGAGCGCTTTGAGGAGACTCTGGTTGAAGAAGCTCAGAAGGAGGAGATGGATGGTGATTATCAAGAGACGATCCCAGAGCCTGAACGGGCCCAGACCAGTCGGGGCTGGAGTCTGGACTTGGAGGGGGATCGTGAGAATCAGATATCAGAAGGAGCCCAACCTTCAGCCGTGGGTCAAAGCAGGACTGTGAGCCAGAGGAACAGACTGAAAGACCTACTGTTGGCCCTCGGGAAGCGGAGCTCCAGTTGTTTTGGAGGCAGAATGGATCGAATAGGAAACTTTAGTGGCCTGGGATGTAATGGTGCAAGAGGTATTAAAGAATATACCAACATTTAACTAAAGATTAAACATTTATTCTCTTTTTTTGACTTGACCTCAACTGCTAATTGCTCTTAGAAATAAAAAAAATCCAAAGAGCAATAATTTCTAACTTTGTTTTCTGTGTGTCTGTACTTTTTTCCAACCAGGGTAGCTTGATGGAATCTTGGCCCAAACGTTGGATTTTCTCTGAGTCTGAAGATCCACCTGATGAACATCCATTAATCTGTGATTCTGTTCTGGTGAAAACTATTTTTGTGTATGTAAATATGTGTGTCTCACCATTTGAAGTGTTAAGTATCTGTCAGCCATGTCCACAAATGTGTCTTTTATATGAGTCGAAAGAAAGGAATATAAAGATAAATACAAACACAGTCTGTATCTTTATTTGTTTTCTAACACAAACATATACAATGAAATACTAAAGAAAAGTAAACGTCTTTTTACATGAGGTATTCCGTTAATCCTGTATTTCTACTTTACAGCTCAATAAAAAACGTTACAGGAGTGAATTCATAGCTTTATGTCCTTATTGGGTCTTATGGTTGGTCATTATTATTTGTGCCAAAGTAAAAACAGTTTATATGAAACCAGAAAATAATGTTTCAATGTTATAGGAAACATTAAGAGGTTGTGTTCAATAGTTAAACAATAAATAATATGCAAGCTATTTTGAATAAAAATATTTTTAAGCATAAATGTTCGACAAGCATTTGCCCATCAAATAAGGAACTTTTATTAACGCTTTTATGAAACGAGATGCATCTCAAACGAAGAAGGTATGATAAAGGTTTTCCAGGTGTAGCTTTTCCATTTGCTGCACTAATGGATGCTTTTTTATTCCTTCTAATGTTAAATCAAAGAAGAATAAGAAAGCAGAAGAAAACAGTTATTAAGATTTACTGTGATTTTTCTAACACATCAATTCCGATCATGATTTTTGGTTCAGTTCTGCTCACCAGTGTTAAATATATAGATTACAACCAGATCAAAACAT